AAAGCAATTAAAAAAAAATCAGAGATGATGTGATCAGGGTTGGCACTATTGCACAGAGGGAACATACTCATGTCCCCTCCTCCTGTGTCTGCCTCTATACCTCTAGGAGTTGCTAGAGAGACCTCAGGTGTTCACCTCTGTCCACGAGGTTAAACCCTCTCCAGTTAATAGTTCAGACAACATGGCTAACTGGGTGGAGTACCTAGCTCTAGCTAACTTTGCACATGCACACTGGTTCATAAACCACCCAGGATGGACGCACATAGCATGCTGCACTAAAATGTCTAGTTTGTAGGTTCTTACGTTGTGCAATTCCACTTACTGTGTAGAAAGTTATTCTGGATGTAATAGTTCAAGAATCTCTCCAAAATGATAATATAAACTCCATTACATATAGTTTTTATTTTCAGAAAATGTTGGATATAAAGAATTGATGCTTTACTGATTTTTGTTATTCTGGTGAGGGAGGAGAGGATAACCAAATGTTATTTCATATTTCATATATTTCATTTCCCTTACTCAGGAAGAATCTCTAAGAAATAACATTCAACCCTGTTTGTCAAGACTGATTATCTCACATTCATTAGCAGACTAAACACACATGCAATTAGAGTGTTATTTGCTGATGGAAGTGCTTCTCAGGCAGAAAATAAAACGTGATGAGACCCAAGGATCATATCCAACATGGATCTGACATCCTCACTCCTAAGCTACAGGGCATAATTCAGTTAAGACATTGGCCTGGTTATTGCCCTTTCCCCCCCAATAATGGCTCAGATTTTTAAAGTAAACCAATGTTACCATATACCTGAGATCTACCAGTGGTGCTGTCAGAGCTCCCACTATCCTAGGTTCCAAAAAGGGGTGGAATTGCAACTGCAACACATCTGGAAGATGCTAAGTAGGGAAAAGTTGATATAGCATGTATCAAAACTGAAATAAATCTATGAAGTTGCAGCTTGTGTTTCATTTCAAGCCAAGCTGTCCATCATTACCAGTTCATTTTCTAATTTTCTCCCAAACATTTAACATTTCGTAGCTGCTAAATATTCTTAGACCTGGTTGTTGGTTTTTATTAATTATTGGATTTTCTGCAATTCATAGGACTCTTTCAAGCACCTGGAATCTTCTGTTGCGTTTCTCAATGGCTCTGCTTTGATTTCAAAATCAGCGGTGCTCTGGATGTCAGCTTGCTGTTAGAAGCAGTGATTTACATTACTCTCCATCCCCTGAATGCTCATCTTCCATTTCACCCTGTTCTAGTTATACACATAGGCATCCAGTGGAAGCCACAATGATGTCATGCGCATCATGACATCATCATTACAGGAATGATGTAAGCCGTTTGCCTGATTTGTGTGACATGATTGTGCACCTGTTGCCCTTGACTCCAGCAGACACTTGTATGCACCACATTCTCTCTCTGACTTTGAGCTGGCTTTGCCTATGCCTAGTAAGTTGGAAGTAGGGCAGCACAGAAGAGACAGACTTGAGTATAACTGCAAGTAACATGTATTAACGTCCTTGTAGTCCAAAACTTTGTGGTCACAAGCTTACAGTATTTATTGGGTCTTAGTTCAATTTTCAGCATACATAGTGTTTTAAGACAGATTGCTTTTTATCAGCGCTATTGAGCTGAAGCAGTTCAATACCTTTTGCATTCAGTTAACATACACACAGGGTAGATTCACACAACACGCCAAATCTGGGTTAACAAAACATACTTTGTGTCCACATAATCCATTATGTCCAAACAAATCATATTATGACTTAATATGATGGCCTGGTTCATGTACCATGCTAAGGCAATAGTTTTCCTCCGTCATGCTGAAACACAAGTGATTCAACTCTACTTTAACTTAGTCTAGGCCATTGTGTGATTCAGCCACAGCATTGCTGCATCACCCTTTCAAGGATTCAAGATGTTAAGTAAGCTGATAGGCTAAGAATTTAATTATTCCTTCAGTCTCATTTACCCCTTGGAATCTCATAGATATCCATTTGCAACTAAGAGAAAGTCCTCAGTTAGGTAACTAAGAGATTGATTTTTCCCAAAACAATAATGCCATTTGTGGGATACTACAGGGAGGATTCTGTCTCGTTGTCTATCTGGAATACAAAAAAAAAAAAAAAAAAGACCAAAGAAGACTTGGGGATGACAAGGCAAACAGCGGCAAAAAAAAAAAAAGAAAGAAAAAAAAGAGATGTTTTGACAAAGAATTATTCCTATTTAATGCATCAAAAACTATCACCTATGACACTCTTACTAG